ATTAATTACAAAGCGCCGGCGCGATTAGTACAAAAATATCGGTTAAACGTTTAATTTATTTAAATATTTTATTTATGGATAAATTTTTTTAAACAATGAGTATTTTTCAAGGCACGGAAAGCATACAGGTCAACACAAGTCTTGACAGAGCTGCAGAGGAGGAGGCGTTAGCAGATCAAAGACGCCGCCAAGAAGAGGTTTGTATGAAATAAAATATAAGAATTTTTCAAGCTTTACCAACAATTAACTAATGTTTTATAGTTGGGAAATTTATTGCAAAATGCTTTTGATGATTTGGAAGAAGATGAGACCACAGTCGATTCAACAACAAACTTTCATTCACATCTGAATGATGAACCCCCAACGCACGCAAAACAAGCACATCCACAGCTGCAAAACAATAATATTCATGCATTACAACTACCACCAGCTGCATTTGATGCAGAGGTTCATCAATTGAAAATGTTACTTGAATCGCGGACACGCGAGTCGGAACATTTCAAAAAGTTAGCCAGTGATGAACAAAAGAAACGCGATGAGCTACAAAAGCGCTTGTGTATAGCTGAAGCCGAGTTGGATCGCGCATTGACGAGTAAAAAAAGTACACACGAATTGCTTGTGGAATGCAAGGAAAAGTGTTCAAATTTAGAAAATAATATTAGTAAATTGCGTAGTGAGAAGAAATCGCTTGAAAGTGAACATAACATAGTGTTGGGAAAATTGGAAACAACACAAATGCTTTTGAGTGATGTGCAGCAAAAATACGATATGGTAGAGCGGGATTTGGGCAAAAATAGTCAGCGCAATGCCGAATTGCAAAGGAAACAAATGGAAGAGCGACATAGAGCCGAAATGGACGTTATGCAACAGCAAATGGAGCAGCTAGTTTGTAAGTTGGATAAAAAAACAAGCGAAATGGAAAGTTTACACGCACGTTATGTCGCATTGCAAAGCAGTCATGAAAATATGTTGCTCGAGAAATCTGGCAAAATAAACGACTTGAATCATGCATTAGCTGACGCGCAAAGGACGTGTCAGGAATTTAGAGCGCGGCAGGACTATCAACAGGTACGACATACGAAAATACGGTGTTAAATTATGCTGCTCCAATATGGTCGCTTGGATGTAGTGCAACGCAGACGAAAAAGCTTCAGACTTGTCAAAACACTGCACTCCGGACTATTACGGGATGTATCTTGATGTCCCCAATCGAACCAGTACGCCGACCAGACTTCGGACGCAACGAACTTTAGACAAGTACTGACCGCTATTCACAGTGGAGCCATTAACACTTTCACCGACTCCCTCTCAGTGAATGGCGTACTAGCAGTCAAATCACCACCCATAGCAGACGTAGAGCTCGAGTTGCCTCGTGAGTGACCCTCGCGCAACTTTGTTCTGGATATTGTAGCAGGTTAAATTCCTACTTATCCAGAATAGATCCGACAAATCAAATATATGTCCTGCGTGCAATAAGTCTCCGTATGACACTAACCACCTCTTTGCATGCCTCTTTGCATGACCCCACTCATCTAACACCCATTTCCCTATGGTCCGACTGCGTCGAAACAGCCGTTTCCTGGGTTTCCCGTTAGATGAGCTCGACGACAACCAAACTATATCTTATCAACCAAGCGGGGACTAGGTAACCGTTACAACAACAACAACATACGAAAAAGCCGTTCCACCGACAGTCTGTTCTACGTAACCGGAACGGACCCCTATGTCCTTCCGGTAAAGTATTGTCAACTCGGTAGCATTCTCAAAATTATTTTTGGAATGTTTTCTGCTGGTACAACAACAACATCATCATACGAGAAAACCACCGAAATATTATTAATACAAGTTTTCTATTTTTTTCTTAGGAAAATATGCGTTTACAAAAGTTCATAGCCAGTCTACAGAAACAAATTAGAACTATGGAAAAAACTATAAATTCGTTAACTGAGCGTTTGGAGCATACAACAGCTGAGCTGGATGTGATGGATAGTGTGCTGCATCAACACAATCAAGAGGATACACCTGGCCGTCTAAGTCAGACTCATGGCAAAGTAGTGGGTAGCACGCCCTTAACCACCACAGACCGTTTGGTTAACCTTAAGGGTGAACTCTATCGTGCATTATCCAATATAAAAGGCAAGCGTGATGAAATACGACGGTTACAACAAAATCTTGATGAAAAAACTGCAGAAATTCGCACACTACGCGAGGAAGAAAACAAAGCATTGGTACAAATTTCCACACTTAAGGAGACAAATGTGCGACTTGAGAATCGCCTAAAGCTGCTTGAACAGGAAAACGAAGAGCTATGCATTAAAGCGGCAAACAGGCATAATAACACTAGTAACAGTACTGACATTGAAGCACTGCAACAGCAAATGAAAGCCGAAAAGCAGGCGCTACTAGAACAAAGTGCGCGTCTTGAAGCGGAGTGTAAAAGTCATGAGCAGGAGCGCCAAAAGTTAGATGTGCAATTACGTAACTTTGAAGTTGATTTGGAGGAGCTTAAGCAAGAACATGAGAGCATGAAAGTTAACTATGAGCAAATAATGAAGGAGAACCAAAATTTGCGCAGTCGCACAACAGCTGATAACATGCGGCTGGAATTAGAAAAACATAAATTTTTGCTGAAAGATGCGCAGGCCGAATGTGATCGTCTGAAGAATCTCTACATTGAGATATCTAACACAAAAGAAGCGATGGGTTATGAGATTGAAAAATTACGTAACACAGATAGCATTAAAGAGTTGCAAGAACAACGCGAGAAGATAGCCAATATGCAGCGAGCGCTGCAATTAGCCGAAGTAAAATCATCTGAATTGACGAAAATACTTGAAACTGAGAAAATGTGTCACGAGCGCGATGTGAAGGAGTTAAAGGACCGTTGGGAGAAAGAGAAGACTGCGAACTACAAAGCAAAGAAGTCAGACAGTTCAAACAACTGTAGCAAATGCATAGATTATATATCTGAAATAACGAAGGTAAGTGTACATTAAGAGAACAAAACACGACATTTTTTAACATACATATCAATTATAGTTCGAAATCCAAAATCTTAAGCTTAGTAATGTCAATTCAATTAATAAAAAGGAAATCGACGATCTTACGCAACAATTGCAAGAATCCAAAACTATCATATCAGAACTCAATGAAAAACTGAAGCTCAGCGAACAGCAAGAGACACTCATACGTGAGCTGAAAAATAAAGCAGCACGTTTCGAAGATTACATAAAGAGCCATAGTAGTGCATCGGAACCCATTAGTGAAACAACGTCTCCACCGAAGCAAAAATCCAATGATGAAAATGCCAATAGCAAATCAGAATTTAGCCGTCTTCCCGTCGCCGAAGTAAAACAAATTGAATCACGTATACGTGACGAAATGGCGAAACTCTTCGCTGGCGAAATAAAACGTTTCCAAATAAAACTTCATCAAGCCGAAGAGAAAAATATTTGTTTACAACGCGAATACCAACTTGTGAGTGACGATCTGCAACAGCGCACCACCGAGGTGGAACTGCTAAAGCAAGCCATACTCGCAGAGCGCGAACATATGGAGGATATACTGAAGCAGAAGGATGCTGAAGCGCATGAAATGATTGAAAAGCAAACTGCAATATTGCATAAATGTCGCGATGAATTATTAGCCAAAAATCAGCGTGTAGCGCAATTATCCAAGGAGTTGGAAGAAAGGCAATTGCAAATCGAAGCTGAACGTCAATCTATGAAGGCTGTGATGGCACAATGGGAAGATCAACGCAAACATGTGGATGATATTGAATCGGAGTGGAAGGACAAGGTGCTGTCGTTGGAACGAGCACATGAAAAATCTTTAGCGACATGGCAAAAGAAATATAATTCAGCTAAGCATACAGCGGCGAATTATAAGGTAATTATGCAAAAAAGTAACTATTAAATACTATTTTACAGAATACAAAAAAAAACATCTTCTCTTCTCTAAATCCGGTGTAAGGTAAATGGTTGACAGACCAAAATGCTAGAACTTTTACATACAGGGGGAACTCGTTACCATAATAGCCCCTTTCTTAAGTCATTTACCTCTGAGATCTCATTCCGTTCCCATGACAGTCGGGTCTAAGTAACTGGAACGGAGACGGATTTTTATCCAGCCAAGGACTGTAAACTCGGAATCATTCCTCGAAATTACTTAAGGAATATTTTTTGCTGCAACGACAACAATAAAAACAACAACATCTCATTCAAGATAGATAAGATAGAATGGGTGAGAAATAAGATCTCAAGTTGCTTCGCGAATCTAGAGTGACTCCTGCTCAACTTCGTTCTGGATACTGTAGCAGGTTAAACCCCTACCACTGAATCGACCACGACCTACCAAATATATATCCTGCATGCAATGAGTCACTGTGTGACTCTAACCACCTTTTTTGTATGCCCAACGAACACCACTCATCTAATACCCATCTCAAGAGGTCTGAAGAGGTCAAAACTTACAGTATTAGCTTTACAAAAGTCCAGCTTTCGGCGGATTTAGACGAAATTTCTACCAAGGTGCCCTAAAACTTTAAAATATTTAAAGTCAATTTCTTGAGTTTGGCCCCACTCAGAGCCATATAAACCTATTGACAAATCCTGTCGTGTGTTGTACAATAAAAGTGCCCACTTTGTATATGTATTATAAAATAATGTTTTTCAACATTCTATTCAATTCACAGCGCTATGCGGAAGACAAAGAGGCGCACATGTTACGCGAATACGAACGTCTTAAAACAGAATATAATGCATCGCTGACCAAGATCGAAATACGCATGAAAGAAGCACTGGAAAAGAAGAATCGCGAGGTTAGCATTTTAATTGAAAAGCCATTGGGGAAAATCAAACTACTAAAATAATTTTGTTTTTGCAGATGAAAGACGCTACTACAGCAATTGAGAAACGCCACGAATTAGGTTACGACAAAGAAAACAGAAAGTAGAATTTAATGAAGTCTTAAATGACAATAGATACGAATAGACTATATCGTATGTTAATTAATTTTTTTTTATTGCTAATGAATCAATCAATTTGTTTGTTTTAGATTTAGAAAAATAATAATGACTGCAATTTTTTAATTTTGCACTTTTTTAAATGAAGTAATTAACAGAGCATGTAAATAGTGAGCGACATTAATTAAATTTGCAAAACCAAACATCATCGACTCGTCGTTAAAGGCAAAATTAAAGTAAAAAATGATTACAACTGGTAAGTACCAGTTCCTTATTATTATTATTTTTTATTGTTTTTATTTTTTGATTTCTGGTCCGAAAATGCTTCCCAACATGCTTGCAATTTTTGAAAGCAATTATCAATTTCTGATTTTGTAATACCCAAACCGGCAGCCATTGTTAAATAAGCAGTTCGTGTAGCCGAGTGATGTGTACCCCAACCTGTGAAAGAAGCATACAATTCAATATAATAATTGTATTTTTATTTGAAATCGATTACTAACTTATAAATTCCTGTCCTTCAATTTTCCGGCAATCTCCTACAGCCACAACGCGTGCGCCTGAAATACCGCGTGTAAACAACATTGAACCGAATTTCGTTAGTTCCATGTTAGCGACTTGAAATTGTCTTAAGCTCATAGCCAGAGATATTGGATTGCCTTTTGCTTCCAACAACATTTCTCCATGACTTGCGGCAAATTCCTGCATGCGCATGTGTAAATATTCAAAATTTGTCTTGCGCTCTTTCACTAAATCCAAGTAACCATTGCGACCCAGTGACAAAAGCGTCATAAATACGTCGAGCGTTTGAGCTGAAGAAGCGCGTCCGGGATATGCTTTGGCAACATTGCGTACCAATTGTTCATCGAAGCCCGCAATGATTGCGCCACCAACTGGTACTAAGAGATTTTTATCTGTACTCTGCACAAATAAGTCCACACGTCCCTGACGTTGTGCTTGCTCTAGTTGATGTGTGAGATATGTACTTTGTAAGCCGTAAGCATTATTAACGAGGTGTGGCAGCTCATATTGTGCCGCCAATTTTGCCACTTCAACTATATCATCAGAATTTCGTGGTGCAAAACAGCTGGTTGTTGTGCAAAAGCAAAGTATATTCTCTGCTCCAATATCCTCTACTTTTTGCGTTAGTGCTTTCAAATTCGTTGTCAAACTACCGTTATCATTTAGTTGTGGCTCGACAATTATTGGTGTAAGTCCTGCTGTAATTATACTTTTAAAGCAGGATTTTTGATCAATACGTGACCATAAAACACATTTAGCTGCTGGCTTTTGCTGTCGCAGCGTCAGCAGACATAAGAGCAGAGACATGCCGGTGGCAAGTGGCGCTAAAAAGCAACTGCGACAACTGCGCACACCCATTTTATGGATTAGATCGAGCAAGAGTGCATTTGTTAGATTAGCCATTAGCGTGGAGCCAGCCGCTTTCGGTTGTGCCTCCAACAAATCACCCGAGCGACCAATGCCATGTCCGAAGTTATAATGGCGCCGTGCGACGAGCGCTGTAAAAGCGTATTGTACATATGTATATTAATATAAAATTTACATATTTATTACTTACAACATGCTATGCGCGCTTCCCGTTCACCAACGCCCGATTTTTTGGGAAAGTTATTGCTGTCGAGCAGTGATAGCTGCTGCACTAAATCCTCGATATCTTTTCCTGTCCAGCCATTAATTGGCAGCTTGCGCTATTTGTCATGCATATTTTACTATCACTGAAGGTTTAACTTAATTATTTTTTTGTTAGTTACCTTTTCCAGCAGCTCTCTCTTTTCAGTTTCTCTACTTTTCTGTGCATCTTGTGCTAGTTTCAGATAATTTTCTGGCACTAGTTTTCCACTCATGTTGATTTTTCCGAAATCCATTGGCATTTATTTCTATTATTACTAAGTGCGTTCACAGGTTATAGGAATGTAATGCATAATCACACTTGGTGCTATCTAAAATTTATTTTTGGTTTTCTTTAATTATTTTATATGTCTAATTAGTTGTATTTCTGCACTAGAACTTTGTAATTGTAATTGGTTTGTTTGCATTTGAACAGCTGAGCGAATCGCTTCAAGTGTGACCAGACATGAAGTTTGTTTCATAAGTTGGCGTTCACGTGGGGATTATTTTGTCGCTTATTATCGGCAAATATGCTCTTTTGGTGTCGCTATGGGCGTTCACACTAGCGGCAAAAGGCCAGCAGCTCGAGTCGAGTTTTTCTGTCATTGCTTTTCACGAAATTGTCACAAATGTTTGTGCGATTCGGCTACACGACACTTAGAGCGTGTTGCATATTTCATTTGTATGTTGCGATGATGGTCTCACAGTTTGCTTACAAGGAATAACTATGATAGAACAATATTTAGAGTACCCGCTATTACTATTTTCAAGGCCATGTTTATGACGGAAATTTCCTATTCTATCGCGATATAATCCATATATATTTTTTTATTACTAATCAATCATGCATTAATCATATTTCTTATTTTAAATAAAATGATATTCGAATTCTATTCATTTGCGTTTAAGAGAAAAAAAATGAGAACGCATCTTAGTATATTTAGGTAAATATAGAAAAGTAAAAGTAACTCCATTTTTATTAAAATTCAGTTATAAATATTATTATGTTTAATTCTGCTATTTTATTATTAATTAATTAATAAACATTTAAATTAATCGCCTTTCCTCGTCGTCCCCTCGCCTACAAAGAACCGGTTTGGGCTGAAAAGAATCTGTGTGTAAACTGACAGTAACTGCTAACTATCACTAGAGAATGTTAATGAATAGAGAAGGCGCCAATTTTAGCTGTACTAAAATGTAAATTATTATGAGGGAACATTGAAAAAGCGCAGGTTCGAAAATAAAATTTCACCACCCTATCAGGGAAGGGAACTCAACGAACAACACCACTCTATAAGGGAACCAAGCAAAGTGTACAGACATACATTTAGACGTGCAGACGTTCTTTGGCATGCGTATCAACGAGTATTAAAACAAGAAAAAACGTTAACTTCGGTTGCACCGAAGCTATAATACCCTTCACAAATACAAATGTTGCTTACAAGAACTTGATTCCAATCGTTCAGTTAGTATGACAGCTTTATGATATAGTGATCTGATCTGAACAATTTCTTCGGATATTACATTGTTGCCTTAGACAATAAGTCATGCCTAATTTAGTGAAGATACCTCGTGAAATAGAAAAGTTTTCCATGCAAGCATCTTACACCGATCGTTCAGTTAATATGACAGATATATGCTATAGTCATCCGATCTCTAAAGTTTCTTCGGATATTGGATTATTGCCTTAAATTTCGTGAAGATACCTCGTCAAATTAAAGACAAGCAGTTGATTCCGATCTTTTATTTTGTATGGCAGCTATATGCTATAGTTGTCCGATATTGGCCGTTCCGACAAATGAGACGCTTCTTAGTGAGAAAAGGACAGGTGCAAAATTTCAGATCGATAGCTTAAAAACAGGGACTAGTTTGTGTATATACAGACAGACGGATATGGCTAAATCAACTCAGCTCATCATGCTGATCATTTATGTATATATTTTTGGGTCTCCGACGTTTCCTTAAGGAACGCGTTTCGGCTACAAAACGAAGTGCGATCGTTTATAACTCTGCACTGCGCTTTTTTTTCTGTGCGCCTAGTTAACCACAATTTGTTTTTATGTGGAATTCCTTCTCTTAAAAGCGCGAGATGACATAAATGAAGTTTTAAAAATGTGATGATGAGGATGACTTCAGTAAAAATGAACAAATCAGTTAAAATTTAAATTTTACAATCACTGAAAGTCCTACCATCCCCTCGCAATTTGTATGTTGCCTACAAGCTGCTTCCGCATGACGATGCTAAAAATCAGAAATTGAAGAATTTGTCTGATATTCCCTTAAGAAAGGAGAATTGGCAACATGGCGTATTAGCGACTTAAAATATAATTTTATTTATTTCATATTATGCCTATATATGGCATGTATGTGTGATTGTCATTTTCGTGTAAATACGCATAAATAAAGGAATATTCAATCAACTTACACCATTGATTTATATAATATATTTATACAATGGCTTAAACATATGAACATACTTTTCTGAAATATTATCTCAGTAAGCAAAATATGATATTCAAATAACTGGATTGAGATACTGCTAAGATTCTAATTAATAAAATATGATATAATAATGTTTCATGATTTTCAGTATTCGAACGTAAATGCTCGTATTCACATTGAGCTTTACTCCTTCACGCCTACTACCTAAGTATGCCGCCTCAAAAATGGGAACACGGCTACTTTAGCCACTGTTTTATTATTATCCTTTGCCTATTAGATATTGTTCACGCAAATGTTTATTTTACTCTGCAGTTTTTACCAATAATCCTCCATTTTAATTCAAGAGGTTATTTGTAATATCATAATTTATTTATGAACTTTTTGTCATATCAGAGAAATTGAAAACATAAAAGTTTCAAACAGTTTCATGAAATAATTTCTTTCGGAGATTTTCCATTGTCTATCGTCCATCTGTCCGTGCAAGCGATAGCTTGAGTAAAAATTTAAATATCTTGAAGATTGGTACACGTCATTCTTGTCACACAAGACACGTTGTTATTGCATATGGGCGCAATCGGACCAAGCAAAAAATCAAGATACAAATCTGTGATTTGGTAGAGGGCATGCAAGTATGGAGAGGTATCTGTGGCATAAAAATGTTTAAAAAGTGGGCATGACCTCGTCCCCTAATAGGTTTAAAGTGCTTTTCACACAAACCACAAAAGCCAAATCAACCAAACTTGCCGAGAACAAGTTTTTTTAATATATCCATATATGGTGTTGAATGAAATCGGATGATAGCCGCGCCTTCTTCCTATATAACGGTTATATTGAAAACTGCAAAAAATGCAATAACTCAGTGCTTTCTAAATACGTCAGAAGCATTAAATTTCACAGCCGAGATAGTACGGGAGGGCTCCATAAGGCTCAGTGTAAAAATTTTAAATTTTTATAAAATTTCAGAACCCCAGTTAAAGAATATGTGGATCTTAGTGCCTATGTTTGACTTTATACCAAAAATATCGGTAAATCTTTGTTTAAAAGCGTAACAACAAAGTTTACAGGCTCCTTTCTCTTAATCCACACATATCCGGAATGAAACCGGCCAAATATTCGATCAAATGGCTCTTCAACCGTACGACAGAAATATTTTACAAAGGCTGTATGTATGTACATACATACATATGAATGTAAGAACTCTGTAACCGCAAACGATGGAATGTTGAGTTGTTCAAGTACTGTGTATTGAAAATGGGATAAAACATGATTCTTTTGTCAGAATGTGAAATCACCTTTTTCGACCAGAGTTATAAAAATGTAAAAATTATTTGACAAGTGCAAACCAAGGACATCGCAAATTTCAAGTACGTGTTAAATAAAAGCTGAACCATACCTACAATGGCTTGCACTAACCACTTCTATACTAGTACTTGAATTAATAGGTTGCTGCGAAAACAGCTTGAAATGCAATAAAGTAGTTAAAGTAAAAAAGAAGCAGCTGATAATTATGCTGTACCTTTCGGTATTTGGGCTAAGTGTGAAAATGCATAAGTTTTTATTGATGGACTATAAAAACCTTTTCATATAAATATTTTTGTGTTGGTTGGATTCTAATACATTTATCACCACTACAGCTGTGAGTTAATGCATTTTTCTTTGTAAACAACTTGCGAATTCAATATTACAGTTTCACCAGAATTCAAAAGAACGCTCAGGAATTAAAAAACTTTGACCTTTCTAATACTATACATATTTTTGGCTTACACTTTGCTTTTAGATATCGATAGGAAACATACAATATATACATACATATGGAACAGCTATATCTAGCCGTTGGGAATCTTTGCTTGTCAAGGATCACAATAAGTTCAGTGTCAATTGAAAGTTTCATTGATTTAATAGACGATCAAATAATAGCGTCGACAACCAAATCACACAAGTCAACCTTTAAAGTTTGTGCCTTCGGATACTGCTATTTTCTAAACTAGTCCATCTGTCTAGACAAAGACTTCGATATACATATATCCTCCAAAGAGCTCCGCAATGTAGGAAATTTACGAGCATGCCGTATCTTGAACCCGATCCAAATTGCCCTAGTTTTCACATCACTAGTAATTATCACAATATCAGCCTATGTGTTCCGCTTTAACTATTAGATGCCATCGGAAATATTTATTTGACGAATATTAATACGTACCCCATAATATGAATTTCAATGGTAAATAAGCGATTTACTAAAAACATTAAATTAATCCCTTGGAAGCATGTGAAAGAAACTGTCAAAGCAGCGGATAAAACTATTTCTTTTGTAATATTATTTATGGTATACACACCACATATGTTTTAATACCAGCGAATATTAGTTTAAATTAATTTTAAACATTGTTTAAAACAATAGTTTGCATTCAAGGAAGAAACCAGTGCTATTTCACTAATAGCCGATTCACACACAACTTTCCTCGCTTTGCTTGACAATTGATACTTTAACAAAGAAGCGGTAAAAGCAAAGGGTATGCCAGAGTGAATATTTTGTTTTCGGTGTTTCTTTCTAGTAAAGCTGGCGACTGTTGCTTGATAAAGCGTAAAAAGATAAAAGTTTTCCTACATTCTGCTTCGCTTTACTTTGCTTCGCTTCGATGTGAACAAACTCATACAAAAATATTATATATTAAGTTTTCCGCGAAATTTGTAACAAGCAGAAGGAAACGTCGTAGATCCTATAAAATATATACCATATATGTATATAAATGATCTACGTGACGAGCTGAGTCGATTTAGCCATGTCCGTCTGTAAAAACGCGATCTAATTATCACCCTCAGTTATTGAGGTTAGAAATCGATCTGAAATTTTGCAAACGTTCTATTTTACCCAAGAAGCTGCTCATTTGTCGGAACCGCGGATATCGGGCTACTATAGCATATAGCTGCCATACAAACTGAACGATTAAAATCATGCCCTTGTATCAAAAATTTTTTTATTTAACGAGATATCTTCATGAAATTTGACACGGATGATTGTCCAATGCAACGGTGTAATCTCTAAAGAAATTGTTCAGATCGTACAACTTTAGCATATAGCTGCTATACAATCTGTCTGATCGAAATCAAGTTCTTGTATGGAATCTCTTGTAGTTGTGAAGGGTATTATAGCTTCGGTACAATCAAAGTTAACGTTTCTTCTCTTTTTTCGTATCCTACAGTTTTTGTTAGTTTTTATTGTCACAAAATGAATCACTCGACCCTTATATTTTTTGGTTTGTAGAATTTATTGTGGGAGCAAAATATGTATTTTTTTGCTTTTGCCGCTTTTTTCAGTTACAAATTTGATTTAGTTTAATTCTTTTGCATTTCACATATTTTTATCGCCACATTGGCTAAGTTTTACAACGATTTGTTAACCAAATTATAAGTATACATATGTACGTGTGTATAGATGCCCGTAACCAAAAATTGATACTTGTGCATCAGATGCAATAGCACATGCGTACGTTTGTAGTTACGTATGTGCACCTTAGGATAATAAGTTAAACACCTGTCGCACAAATTTATGCTCTGACGCAAGAAAACGAAAATAAGTAAGACTTTAAAAGCCAGTTGTTTGATGCGTTGACGCATCACAATCCTTTTATTTTGTCTGCTTCATTTAATGCTTCCTTCCTTCGATCTCTCATATTTCTTACATCTTTGCTCCACAGTAGTTCACAGTGTGTGGACGATGAAACGCATCTGCCAATTTTCGGCATTGTAGACTTGTTGTTTACAACATGTGTCTGATTCGTGTCAGACTCCTTTGTCCCAGTGGAAAAGTAATTGGGATTGCAGCATTTCAACGTTGTGCTTTCAAGGTATTATAGTATAGCGTGCACACTTCACGACAAAGAATTGCATCGGAGTCAATGTTATCTTATCTAACATACAAAATTATCGATTGGTTTTTGAAGTTTCAGTCCAAATGCGCCTGGCTTCATCGCAACCTGAACTTAACGTTACCACAGCTAACATAAGGCGATGTATATCACCCCTAATCCGTTATCGAAACTTTCATCGCAGAAGTGGAATTTTACAACCGAACCAAGAAACTTTCTTCGGTCAATATGTATGCTTGGATCATAGAACAATTATTGGAACACATCGTTCTTTTCTACTGTCGGATCGGAGGCACATATTATAGTTATTTTGAATACTCTAACTTTGAAGTTTGTCTTGCCCGGTCATAGTCTTACCAAGGCCATCTATCAGCCATCCATTGCCTCGAATCATAATACATAAAACAATGGTAGTATCATCATTAAGAAGGGAGTATCTTACGAAGCTTTGTGGTACACTTCAATGTCGTTTTCACTTGGCGGTTCTTAATAGCTGTTCGGGCTAGTTTACATTTTTAAAACAGCGTCCTTCTTGCGACAAGAACGAGATTAATTTTCAGCTTCAGCATGGAAAGGCTTTGATAATTTCAGTGTATTGTGAGACCGAGTAAGTCAGACTGACACCACTAAACCGAACCCAAGGCTCCACATGAGTTAGCTACCGATACGCTATGTTGACCCAGAATGCGTTCGCTGGAACCTGAAAATAAAAAACCAAAGCGAGAGCTTCCAAAAACCGTATACAGTAACCGTTAATCGCTTATTCTACGAACAGTTGTTTTGAGGGATTGCTACAAAGTCTTGACTGGGCTACTTTGATAAGTAACCCTTTCTGTATATATGTATGTATGCGTATACACTACGTACATACATGAATTCATATGTATGCTTATTAAAAATACACAGGCATGTCCTTTTGCCGAAATCTGCTTCCACTGATCAACCAAGTAACCAGTAACCTGCTGCACATGTTACCTTCTCATTGGCGGCTCCGAGTTGATTGTCTGCGGAAGTTCACTGGTCGTCAAAGAGAATTCTGTTGGGTAACTAATGATCATTGTTGGTCATAAACTTGGTTTTAAGTCATTTGCTTTTATATTTATTTTACTTTTTATTCGGTTTTGTTTTCCTGATATAAACGATTGCCAAAATACGCGGATGTCTGCCAATCGACAGCCTGCTGCAATGTCAGCAGCGAGAAATCCAAAATGCGCATGTTTCCTCTTTTATCATGCAAGCTGCGATCTCTTACAATCGTGTGAATTCAATAAAACGAGTGGGAGATAATGGAAAAGAAGATGCACGTTTGTATATACACACATATAAATGTACCTATCCACATCCATATTTATGTAGGTCTATGAACAGGTATAGTTTTTTCAATGGTAAAAACATTGTTCCGATCAAAGCTTCTCGAGCTCGAATTTATATCAAGGTAAAGAGGTTGTAATGTCAATGTATACGAACTGTCGGAACGGCAATATCGAACATTATATTAAAAAATATTTGCTACCGTCAAAATATAGGTAATTTATATGTTATCGAGCATTTATCCTATTCTTATTTTCAACATGAAGGCATCAGTCACAGTATAAAAGAATGTGTTGGATAAAGAAAACCTCGTAACAATGTTACAAATCTTTCGCAGAATCTTTTTCGAATCTGGAATTGCCTGGTACAATGGAGTGCACGTGGACCACAACTTATCTTCGCGGGATATAAATGAGGACCCTTGGCATTGACGTGTACCCGACTATTGTATTAAAGGAGAACATGCTATTTTGTTAATCGCTTAATGCCGTTTGAATATTTTGAAAGTTTTCATTTATGAAACAATCACAGATCATGGTTAAGATCAAGTCACGAATGAGTTACTTTTAAACATGACGTGCTCAACTTTGTTTATACAAAATATTAAAGAATATAAATACATACATATGTACACATACGTATAGTTTGTATTTATATTACGAATTGTTATTTGTTTATCGGTCAAGCAAAACTCATTATTGGCAACAAGGAGACGCTTTTGATTATTTAACAACGCTTATGATCGAAGCAAATATTTAACATACATACATATGTAAGTATGTACATTGAAACAGTTTCAGCGAAAAGCAGAAAAATCAATAAATGTCACAAAAGCACAAAAGAAGGACAAAGGTGGAAATTAAATAAAAAATTTATTAAGAAAAAAGTTTAAATATTTTGGCCTTCAGAAAATATAAACAATATTTAATTAGTTGTCTTCAATTCACTGCGAGGGGGAAATTAGCGAATCTACCGAGCAGATGGTATAAATTATTATAAATAGAAAAATGATTTCAATCGGTTATACCATTCAATGAGGCAGTCACAAAGTCTCACACATTAAAACATACTGAATAATTAAAATAAATAAACAGAATACTTTTAAGTATTTGTGCCGACGACGACTTAAATTTTCCGTACATTTGTTACAAAGTCGCTCTCAAGTTTGAAAAAGATCAATGCTAGGCTACGCCAACAATGTTGAACTAATCTTCAAACTAACAATAATAACAGCATGCTATGGTATAACTAAATGAAAACTACAAAGGCGAGACAACAAAAATTCGTACAAGCCAAACCGCTACAACAAATACTGTAGGAGACACAAAAGGGTATCTTTGCGAATGTAAGTACATCTGCCTTTTTCTTTGAAAAGTTTTTGCTTAAAATATGCAATTCTTGCTGGACAGGAATTGAGTTACTGTGCTTAGTCTACCGCTCAATGTTTTCTTTTATTTCAATCAAAATTGTCGATTGTACTATTTTATTGCTCGTTTAATAATTTAAAATATTTTTTCCAAATTCTCGAACTATTTTCTGCAAAACCCGCATGTGACACCAGCATCAATCATATGATAAATCAGCAGAAAGACAAACAGGGAAATCAGCATTATTCGATCAGAAGAAAAGCAGTGTGCAAAAATTTTTCATAATTGTACATCGATTTCATAACATAATTAAACATTGTAACGGTTTCACGAAGTCGATAAAAACCTTTTGACATTGATACTAATTAACATTCCGCCCTACCGTACTTGCCGTATCAAAGCAAATTTGTCAAAAGTTATGTCCGTAGCGGCAACGTAGAAATCAGTTGTTCTCTTTTGTTTTCAATGTTTAATTTGTATATACGATTTTAAACACATTTAGTTTTGTAGTTATAATTTTGCATAATGTCAAAGCTCAAAACTAAAATCCAACTATTAAAAAAAGTCTACCTATTTATAAATAAATGTATTCGACTGTTATTTTGAGTTAATTTCAGAATATTTCAAATATATTCAAGTTTATTTTTTAATTACTACAAAATATCGAGACTGGCAACCCTGCGTTGCAAGAGAGCAATCAGCTCACTCGTGTTAACGGAAAAAATTCAATTTTCGCGGATATCCTACCGTATGGTCTGTAGAAGCGGACGGTAGAAGCGGTGGTGAGTGTTCATTTACATTGCGCTCTCATAAGATAGGTCTCATAAGATAGGATCACCTGATTCGGTCTACGGCTTTGTGTCAGTGACTGTTTCCAGCATTAGAGGGTAGTGAATCGAATAAGCTATACGGCTGCTCAAATAGACTGGCAGCAATTGCGGTGCAACTTTGCAACAATGTTTCCTCTGACGCATGCGCGAATATATTTCGCTTCTCTCTTTGGTGGTGAAATGTTGCTTACCGTGCCAAATAACATTGTAGTAACCTCTCGAGTTCGAGTAACGCATGTACCGCACGTTTTCAATAAACAATTACGTATACATGTACATAATATGTAATTTATTTTATATAAAGTTTTAAAATAAAATAAAATAATTTTATATTCAGTTTTGACAATAATTTGGCAATTGAGTCATCCGCTACAGCAAATAGCGGTTATACAACTTTAATGAAATGGCGAATAGAAGACGGTTACAATTTCAGATAGATTAGCAAGTGATTATACAACTATAATTAGCTTGAAGTCCAATCTATCCAATAACGTACAGCCATATTTTTTATTGATTTTTTTAATCCCAAAAAAATATTTTATCATAACTCGAAAATCACTATCTTCCATTGTAAACAGAAATAGCAGAGTGTCACTTCGAGACGCTTAAATTGAGAAGAATTATTTGAAATTCCATGAAATTTTGAAATTCTAGTTAAGTTTAGTACTCTAAGGCAAGCATAGAGAATTTTGTTTGTGATGAACTCTCGGTCAGACCAAAAACTTTTCAGCCCATGTGGTAGAAAAAAGCACGAAAGTGAACTAAAATTGTTCGAAATGTGCTCGAGCTAAACTAGTTTAGAACAAAAGTACTTTCCTACAGTTCAGTAACATTTTGCAGTCGGGTATAAAAACATTCATCCTATCAGTGCCCGCCAATTCGTCCAATTTCGACAATTAAAATAGATAACAAATTTCGGGATTTATTTCAACAAAAATCTGTTAAGTGGTCACATGAATATTTTTGTAAATATGCACTTCAAACCTTTCCACGCATTCACATGATTTGTAAAGACTTCCTGTGCTTTCAGCTAACAAGCCGAAATCCGATATTTTGCATTATTTGTTTGTTTCTTTGCTATGCCAACTACGAGTAAATTCCATATGCAGATGCCCAAAATCCAACTCGTTGTATTGTAATATGTCGTATTTTTTGCATTTCGATTATATTTTATTCATTTAACTTGTTTTCATCCACTTTCTTGCACAACATCCATAAATATGCATGAATTCTGCAAAGAATTCCCGTCAGGCAGGTTTAGAATTTTACTTAACGTGTACGTGTCCTTCTTTAGAAACCGGTTCATATTAGCTAAAATGTTACTATTTTGAAAATCTTTTTGTATCCATTCAAACAACAGCGTACAGGATTAGTTTGAAAATTGTTTCCAAGAATTCCCATACTGTTAATGCGGTTGCATATACAAATGCATGTACATAAGTATGTATGAGACACAGGTAGATCGGCGAATCGGGATAATACGAGATTAGCTGCAGCTGCGGATCTATTGATACTTCAAAGGGCAGCTGTAGATTAACAAGTAGCTTAAATTAAGGTAGATTATTTCGTACATACAGATTTATGTTAACGGAACATTTCTTGCAAAATTTCGATACATCCGATTAGGTTCGTTAGAAAGCGCGCAACAACAACAAAGCCGCTTCCGAGTTTGGACAAGATCAATGCCAGGCTTCGCAAACAATGTTGTACTAACCGTCAAACTAAGAATAACAACAACATGCTATGTATATACAAATGTTTAACTTAAAATAAACTACAAAGGTGAGACAACAAAAATGCATACAAGCTAAGGCGCAACAACACATACTGCAGGAGAACGAACACAAAAGGATCTCTTTGCGAATGTACATCTGCCTTTTTCTTTGAAAGGTTTTTGCTTAAAATTTGCATTTCTCACTCGACAGGAATTGAGTTGTTCCGCATAGTCTTGCTTTGTTATGTTTCATTTTGCAATAACAATAATCTTCTGTGCGTTAACATTGAAAACTGCTAAAATTTTTCGGTTTTACTAGTAAACAATGGAACAAGTTTTGACTGCTATTGTTCCTATGGATCCTTAGCCGTTGGAAGGTAAGGAAAGAAAGTTGCCATGAACGGTTCCATAAGGTTCATACAAACCTGTATACATATTTATCTATGCCCATGCTTGTGTATGAGTGCACGTAGGTAAGCAGATGTCTTTCGAAAACTGCCAGTGCAACGGGTTTCCGGCAGATAAATTTGCATAAATATATCATCTTTAAACAGTAGGGTTCTTTACCCATTTTGCTACAAAGGTGCTCTTCTACCCTCCTACCTCAGTGACCACTCATTCAATAATTCGCAATGGTATTTTCTTTTGTGAAAGACCGAATATGATACCAGCAATCAGTTATATGATTAAACAGCGAACAGACAATGATGCTGGGAATGAGACCCATCAGTAATCTATCACAATTCTGATCAGCAGAAACAACATTGTAGAAAATTTTTGCATAATTCCACAAACGTTTCTTTTCAGAAGTGACTGAAATTTAATCAGGATTATAAAATTGTACTAAAAATACAATAATGTCTGATTTTTCAGGTTGTGCGATAAATAGACATATTAAAAAATTTATATTATTACTTTGAAATGTTCAATTTTTCGACTGTGCCAGCCCCCCTACTATGTAAAACCTGGTTTCAATACCATATAGCGACAAAATATTTTCTAATTGCTGTAATCGCTCGACAAGCAAAACCTAACCTTCATCATTTAGAAGCTAAATTTACTTGAAGAAGTATAACTTGAAACAGATATTAAGATATTAGTCATTTATCACCCCATCCTGGGAACAGAACACAAACTGTTATATGATTCCTCAAATTCATATTATATTACTCTCTTACGCAATTTAGTGGCACGCAGTTTAAGCGGTTCGTTCTCTAGAGTCTACCATAAATCAATACACAGATGCTTTGAGTTACTGCAGAGGAGTTCAGAAAAGAATAAATTTTTACATGGCTAAAATGTAGAACATACATATGTTCTGCCCATGTGTTGTGAGGAACATATTCGTTGATTTCGGAAATGAAAAACCACGCATTTTCTAAAGGCAAACAAATTGACAATTGGACATGTTGTATAATGAAAATTCGCAGTCTGGGTACTATAGTTGTCATATAGTTCCGACGAAAAAGGTAAGCTATAATGATAATGATCACACTTTAGTTATTTTGGTAGCGTCAATACGATTCACCAAGTGAAACTAACTAAATAAATCTTACCAAAAAATTTCCGAGCTTCGTTGCCTCAATCTCACACTTTTAGACAGCTACATAAGTGAAATAGGAGTTCTTATCTGGCTTTGCAAAGGACTGTTTTTATCAGTCTAAGTGTGATCCCCCCCCAATCTTAGGGGATCAGCTATCTAATCTAACCTACCTCATGTGTAGAGCTTATGTCAGTTATAGTACCTACATATGTACATGTATGTCATAATGTAGTGTCTCGT